ATTCGAGGGAGGGAAGGGAGCGAGTGATGTCGAGCCAAGGGGATGTAAGCGCCATGCCTGCAGGTAGGGGAATAGGGACGCGGGACCCGTGGAAGAGAACGGTGGGTGTGGTGTCGGTGCTGCGGTGGAGATGGAGCAGGAGTTGTAACAGTGCGGTACAACATGTGCCACCTGCGCTGTCGCCGCCAAAGACGATTTCACTGCTGGAAATGGGCGTGTGGGGAGAGCCGGGCGGCGGGTACAAGAGGCTGAGGTATGCTGTGAAGCAGTCGAGCAGGGCCGCAGGAAACGGATTCTGCGGCGACAACCGGTACCGGACGTTGAAGACGCGGCCACCTGTATCCTTTGCAATGCGCGAGGTGGTTGGGCGGTACGTAGCCGGGTCGAGGAGATACATGGCTCCGCCGTGGAAATACAGGACCGTGACTGGACTCGACGTCTCCGCCACAAGGCGTGCGTATTTTTCCCCTTCACCAAGGTCACAGGGCTCGGGCGTGTCGTCGTCTACACCACTACGATAGCCATTCCATTCTGCCTCCAGAGCCGCGTTTTCCGGCTTCGTCCAGACCTCCTCGCCCGTGCCCAAGTCGTCGATTGCACTGAAGAGCAGCTGCCGGACGTCGTCTTCAGGCGTGGGATCCAGGTTTACCTTTGAAACCCAGACTTTACCCTTTACACCGCCGTCTCTGCACGTCAGACGCTGGAGTTTGGAAATGGGCTGGGGGGTACTGTTTGGGCCGATTAGGTCGCGGAGGATGTTGATTGTGATTTCGGTCCTGAGATCCCATTTTGAAGAGGTGGGGGATATGGAGAGGGTGTGCCAGAGGGCTGTTTTGAAGATGAAGGGTGTCTTGGGGAGGAGGAGTTTGAGGAGGGTGGAGGGGGAGGACTCCATGGTTTGGTGGGGATTGGTCAGTGATGGGCTGATTAGGGGTTGGATGTGTAGGATGGGTGTGGATTAGAATGAAAGCTTTCCTCCAGTACAAGAACCCAGAAATTCACACATAAACATGCAGATAGCCCAGTATATACAAATACATAGAGGCTAGTTCCGCTCCAAAAGGAGGTGGAGGAGCCATACCAGTGGCGAATAACGACTTAGTCTGGACGTCGAGAAAGGCAGCCCGAGGACCAAACATGCCTCGGCATCTTGTAAGTACCGTGTTGCCAGCCCATGTATGAATAACCTTCACCATCCTTGCATGTCATAATCACAACAACATTCAACAACTAACACGCAACGCACAGAGTACAATTATAATACTGCTATACAGTCGTACGTAGTGCCTTGCTGGATCACTGCACTCACAAGAAACTACCCACCTATCCCAACGCTGCAACGCACTGCACAAGCGCTTAAGGGAGTCTCCCGTCTTGCATTACCGTAACAATCATTCTTCCCAAAACCATGTACTCCAACCTGAACCCTCATATCCCAATCCGTGTCGCGAGACGCCTATACCAATGCATGTATTCATTTCCATGTTCCCATTCCCACCTAGCTGGCCATTTCTCCACCGCGACGTCACCGGAGCAAAGGACAGCCGTGCCGTCCTCCACCTATGGAGTGTGCTCTCCCAATTCTGCGTTGACGAAGGCGATGTCGGAGTTTACACACTGCGTCTCCTCATGCGCGGCTCAACAGTAGCTTGCACAGTGCTGCAGGGAGAAGAGCAGGTATCGGATGTATGCTAACCATCCAATTCACCCTCCTCACTACCACGCTCCGTCGCATTGCCTGCCTCTTCCCCGCCATTTGCCGTGTGTGCTTGGCCATGATTCTGAGCGTGCGCCAGACTCTGCGCTTGTTCGGGCTGCGTGCTCTGTACGCCCTCCATGCTAACCGGAGTATCGCCAAAGTCGATTCCATCCTCTGGCGTGCGTAGACCGGCGTACATGGACGGCTCCCCATCCTTATCGGGGGACTTTTCGTACAAATCGGCCATGAGATTGCACGCGCGCCTAATGTCGCGCAACTTGACGTGTTGAACTTCCCACCACGGTCTCCCCTGCTCGTCTTCGAGCGCGACCTCGGCCATGCGGGCGCCTGCGTACAGCGACGCCGCCGCGATCGTGCGCGACATGAAGAGTAGGCACATTTGCGTGCTCGTGGAATCGGAGAGAAAGGCCCAGGCGGAATTGCGCAGTTTCTTGTTGTGCTCGACGCCGTAGTACTTCATCATATCGTACATGATCTTGTACGGCGACTCGACGTTCAGGTCAAAGCACAGGGCCTCGAGCAGCACGTCCTCGCTGTACAGGATCGTGTCGCGCCACTTCCAGAAATCTTTTGTTTGTTCGTCGACAAGCTTGTTGGGATCTTTGAGGGCAACGCGCACGCAGGCTACGACGAGTTCTTTCATCTTGCGGCAGTTTTCCTCAACCTTGGTGGCGAGGAAGAGGGCTGTGGCGGCGATTTGCTGTCCGTTTACATTAGCATACACTTGTCCTCGCAGCGCTTCGCTGCCAGGGATAACTTACGTAGTGGTGCAGCGGTTTATAGCCCGCCCGTGGCTTCAGACTCGACCGCATCAAGTATCTGTTGAAGAAGACGGCGGCTGTGCTGAGCGTGGTTTGTGGGAGCTTAAGCATCATGCCGACTTGCAGGATGAAACTCACGCCTTTTCGCCGTAACGTGCGCTCTTCTTCTGGCGGCATGCCATCGACTATGGATGGTGCTTGGAGCAGCTCTTCTTCGGTGAATATCCATTGCAGCTCTGCTTCGACAACGGCGGGCGGTGGCGGGCGGGGTGCTTCGCGATGAGGCGCAACGGAAGAGGAGGTTGTTGATACCATCACCAAGGAATCGTGGAGTTGTTCGCCCGTCGTGGGCTTTGGCGGGTTGCGAGGCGCAACAGGCGAGTCTGGTGCGTGAAGCTGCCTCTCTTCGAACTCTGACTGATGCGCAAAGCTGCCTTCCTTCCAACTAACACAGATGTGCAAAGCTCTTTCTCTGAATTGACCACACGAACCCACAAAGCCAGGCCAGCCCAAGTAATATACTAAACGCGATGAGTTGTCTACCGCAGATTGCGTCGACG